CCCTTAAATGGGATCCTCATGAAAAGTTCTTTCTTGGGGACACAGATGGCGTTTTCCTTCTCCGGAGTGAGCCGAATATTCTTTTCGATGAACTTTTCCGGATAACAATTGTCCTGTAGCGTTTGGCGAATGAAGCGTAGTTCTTCATCCAGTGTGTCTACTGAACAAATCTTCCGGGCTCTCAAGGCTGGACACCGGACTAGATTACGTTTGTACTTTACAGGAAGGAAGTTAGTGTATTGACCATTCCGTGTTCATTTTTTCTGTGAATCCGTCTTCTTACCGATCTATCTTTTCTTCTATACACGGCAACATCCAAAAAGGGCAACATGCTGTTTGTTTCCACCTCTACGGTGAAGTTTAGTGATTGATGAGCTCCGTTAAACAATGTCAGTATCTGTGGGATGCCATTTTCTCGATTGGTTACACAGAAGGTACCGCTTTCTAGCTTAGCCATGAAAATGTCAGCTAGCCAGGGACCGAGTGGGGATTCCTTCATGACGTCATCCGTTTGACGATAGATGGCACCAGTAAATATAAACTGGACGTTACGTGTACAACATAGTAACAGTTGCTTTATGTTTGTGACCCGGGTAACAACGTTTACATTTAGAGTTTCTATTTGATCGCAGCTGAATTTCACTGTCTCCAACATGGGTACATTGGTGAACAGTGAAACGGTATCCAAGATAAACATCGCTTTGTCTTTCAAGTCCATATATTCTATGTTGGTTACAGATTGAAAACTGTCTCAGGGACTATGCGTGGCGAGTCTACCACGGATGGGTCCTAGTAGTTCAACCAACCATTATACCTTTACCTGTTATGGTGAATTCACCATTGCTAACTGTAATTCCTTCTTTGTGAATCTTCGGGCAACCACAAACAATCGAGGAGCAGTGGACCCATATGGTTTTGCCTTGTCAAATGTATCTTTGTGCTTTCAGTCAATCTGTGATTTATCCCCTTCACCTTTTCACTTTCATCCTTTGCCTTGTTGTATTTTGAGAACTTTTGATCATCCGACGAAATTAGCTCAAAAAGTTTTCCAACATAATCCTTGTTGTTCATGACCATCACCATTCCGGTGACTTTATCTGGTTTGAGTAGTATGATATCTCTGTTATATACTGACGCTTAAGTGGGTCGTGATTATGTGTTTCAACCTTTGGGTACTTATAGCAGCTTGCTATCAGTAGACTTTAAAACCTTTCGAAATTGCCGTCTGATTTGGATATCAAATATTTCGTTTGACCCATCAGACTTTCGAATTGCACCTGCAAATCTCTCTTCGATGGGCAACAAAACTTCCATCCAGAAAACAGCAACCTATTAGATAAATTATGCACAAATCTTTCTGGTTTGTTGGAAAAAGTTGTTAGCTGTGCAACCTCATGCGAATCGCGTGATAAATGTTCTCGAATGATCCGAACGCGACGCGTGCAGAATTGACTTACGGATTGGGTAAACTGTAAACGTTCCTTCTGTGATAAATCGTCAACAATATGTTGTTGTTAGAGGACGTTCCGTTCAAATTCCGCTCTGGTTTTTTGTTGCAATGAATCGCAAACACTCAGCACAAGTTTCCTGCGGGTTTTACTGTTGCGGTAGATGCGATCCCGAGGCAGCTGTTTCGGGTAACGATTGGCTACTCATTATTAGTCACACAATTATACAAGAAGTTCACATGAGTGTTAGCATCCGCAAGCCGAGTGGAAAAGTTCAGGAACGTGTGTAGTTCCTTAACCACATACGGCTCATTGAAAGATTTCAACAGTTTGAGTATTCTCATAATAGCATTGAGAAAACGAGTGTATAGGTAATTAATTAATTATTCCACTGATTGATTGATTAATTGATTGATTCACTGATTGATTGATTGATTAATGCCTATTGTCTTCGTTGATCTGTGCACAGTAACAATCAACTACCTGTCTTCATTATTATCATGATTATTATTATTAATATTATTATTATTTTTTTATTATGTTTGGTATTTTCTGTGGTCTAATGTAAGAACATTGCTTGATGTGTGATCCACTGATCGTTCCGATCAGCTGGTCTGTGATCAGGCCCCTGGCGTGTTTGCTCTCCATTTTTTCTAACAGGGATTTGTGAACAGTGAGGTTAAATCATTCGAACTCTAACTTCCCGAAGAGGCTCATTCAAATAGCCATTAAATTCAGAAGTACCAGTCTTAAGTTTGGTTCTAATTAGAACTAGTCAAATTGGCAAACATGGTTACAAATATACCATCTAAACCATGTTTCGGAGCCCAGAACTCTGACATGAAAGGCCGACGTCTTAGCACTACCACATCACAACTGACTGATTTTGATTCGACTCAGTCAGCCTGACTGCAAGCCTACTGATCAAGAGGTAAAACATACGTGTTCAGTCAATCATTCAATATGATTTTGATTACTGATTGACTATATTGTCATATGAGAAAATATGATCTACTTACATCTCTGAAAGATCATGGGAGCAGATTTCACAAGCAATTAAATTGCACTCCAGTGCAAGACATCGCTTGTAAACCGTGACCAGAAGGATTGATAAATTTCCTAAACTAATCCAGAGTACTCATCAAATGAAAGTAGGCAATTTGGTTGTCTCATCAAGGCAACTTTTTATCTGTGTGCTTCACATTCAAGCTCAGCACGTACCTTTATTTGATTACTGTCTGAACCGGTATAATACCCCCAATGGCACTCTATTATATCGTGTTGATTGATGGTCTTGAAGTTTTAATTAGGCAGAAAGTCGATCTGACTAGTACCCGGGCCTGTTTCCACGTCCACAGCATTGGTATAATGCATAGCGAACTAAACTACTTATAGTGATTAATGAAACTCTAAATAGATTTGTATGATAAGCCTATATTGTAGCCACCAGTGTTAGTTACCTGTGATTTTATGTAACCACTTTCCCGTTCTTTAACCTTAGGCTCTTCCAGCTGCATAGCGCATCCCATTTTTTCACATATTCTAAATTCTCTGATTAAGCAGGATCCCGGTGAAACACTATAATTCGTTAGTATTGCATTGAAGGCAGTAATGCTTTAGTCAAGTCAGGTTAAGCTTAGTGAATTTTCAGCACTAAGGCTGTTTGCTATGCGAATACCATATCAACCTGGGACTTGTGGCCTTGCAGATATCGAGATATGCCCGGTGATTTGCAACTCCACATCAGTCGGAAAACTGGACATGTTGCACAAGAAGTGTGCACAACGGCGTGCCTCGATTAAAGAACAGTAGTCTCATTTTACACGGTTCTCAGAGTTGTTTAACTCGTTTGTAAACAAACCATCCATGGCATCACCGAGCTGATGATAGTTTCAATCGAGATGAACGAAGATTGACAAGTTAACATGCGTATTATACGGGTAAAGAAGGTGTAGTATTTGAAGTATGCACCGATCACGAATCACGTATCAGAAATCACGGATGCTGCCTAGGCACTGAGTCACACTGACACTTGCACAACGGTATCCCACGTAACTAAGACACAAGGAAATAGCCACAGAAGTAGCAGTTCATTTATTGGAGGAAATCAAAGGGGTTAAATAACATGTACAAAAGAACATCATTGGTTGTCCAGGCATCTACCAATCACGTGCTCGTATTCTTGGCATCATACAGCTTCTGTTTGAGCCACGTAGCTTCTGATTGGTAGGCGCACTCGGTGAATGGTTCATTGCCCAAAAGCTTTAACACATAGACACCTTGCTGGCATCATCTGGGAAGCTTGGCTCATTACAGCTGTTCGGAAACTGTAACGTGTCACCCCGTGGTTTGCGTCA